GGCGAGATTTGAGCTCTTTCCTACGCGCCCCCTGCCCGGGCTTTGCTCGGCTCCCAGGGGGCGGGGCCACACCCAGCCGCTTAGAGCTTTCGCGGAATCCCAGTTGTCACAGTGGAAGGGGCCTAGGAACCCAGACGTCCAAGCCTCCCATTTTACAGTTGGGGCAACTGAGGTCCAGAGGACAGGAGGGCCGCCGCCGAAGTCAGTCACTTAAGGCCAAGCTGTAATTAAAGTGGATGGCTCCAGGTTCCTAATTCCCTTTCTCCAAGCATTACTGGAGCACTCACTGTGTGCCAGGCTCTGTGCCGGGTTGTTGGGTCAGAGAGGCAGATGAGGCCCAGTTCCTGCCTTCAAGGACCACTCAGACAACCACGGAGTCCAACCTTATCCCAGATGGAAAGTGCTGAGTGCTGGGGAAAAGGCTTGGATAAAGTTTTAAGGAGCTCAGGGAAAGGCATTTGATTTCCCGGACCCTGGGGAGACAACAGAGATGGCCCTTTGGAGGGGGACCACTTGATCAGGGAACTTTCTGAAACCAGCCAGCAGCGACATGAAGGGAGAGGTGCTAGGGGAACAGAAAGATCTCTCTGGCTTCCCTTTTAGGGATCCATTGCCTTCCAGCCTTGGATACAAAATGCAAAATCTTAGGGTCACCCCTGAGTTACTTTCCTGGTATCAGATTCACTTAACTTTGTTTCCGATCCTTTCTCTTTTCACCTCTTCCCCCTTTTCTAAATGGCTTGCCTCTCAATAAAACTCATTCTCACTAAGGTGTTAGTGACTTAATAGCTTACCTCTCCCAGAACTTGTGTATTTTAAGAAAGTCCATAGCTTATCTCCCCCAGAACTTGTGTATTTTAAGAAAGCTCATAAGTGAAGGGACGGAAAGCAACAAACTCCTCCCCATCCCCTTCCCAATCCTTACCCTCCCTCACTCTTACAGATAGGGAAACAAAAATAAAGGCCCAGAGAAGGCGGATGCTAGTTTTCGAGTCTGCAGTGGATAATGGTGGACGGTGGGGTACCAGAACTCCCAATAGGGCCCAATGACCAGCTTTCTTCCTTCCTGGGTTCTTGCCAGCACTAGGAGACTGTTAAAAGGAAGTATATTGCATTTAACCTTTGCAAGACAGTCCTTCAACTCTAATACCCAGGCCTTGACAATCTGGAATTTAAACCTTAAGTGGGAGATAAGTAGTTAGGGTTACCTGTCTAAATGGAAGGAGTGAAGGCCTGGGACCTTTGGATCAGGCGGTCCCTTGGGGTCATGCTTCCTGTAAGCAGCAGGAGGGCCTAGAGTTGGCTTTGGGGATGGGCAGAGGGAGAAGAATCTGGGCTGCTGAGTTGGTTACTATGCCTGGGACTGAATAGCACCCTTGGGGTGACATATTCTGGTGGAGAGGTCATCGCTTTGGGGGAGGTAGACAGTCCCGGGCAGTGGTTGGTGTGAAAGGAGATTTGGTTATAAAGGGCCTTAAAAATGTCGGTCTTGGGAGTTTGGATGTGACTTGAAGCCATCATTTGAGGGTTTTGATCAGGGTGGGACATGATTGAGAGCAGGACTGGCACTGGGAAGTCTTCTGTTGCCCATTTCTAGGCAGAGTGGCAATAATTTGGCCTAAGAATATTGTCAGTGGATGTTCACTCTTTTAAATATATTACTGAGTACCTATCATGCTCCATTGGCAAATATGAAGATTTTATAGCAGGTTCTTGTATTTTAGAGTCAAATAACTTGTATTTCATCAGTTCTAAAACACACTTTTTCAAATTTTAATATTACTGAAATTGGGTTGTCTTATAATTACAGATATGTCATAGTTGAGCAATTTTTCATTCTAAGTTGATGATGGTACATCTTACAATGATTTAGAATTGATAAAATTTGTTAATCATAATCTGTATGAATATACAGTGCTTTGCACTTTATACAACACTTTCCCATCAGATAGATATTCCATTTGAATCTCAAAAATCCCCCAAGCCTTGGGCCTGGTGACACTGTCATCTCCACTGCAACCCTTGTCCAAGGTCACATGGCTAATTAGAAATGTGCTCAGAATTACAACCCATAACTTTGACTTTTGGTGTTAATATATGACTTGACCCTGCTGTGGAACTAGCATGGGTTAATTGGGAACTGGGGAAGAGTCAGTTTGGATTTGATTTCTGAACTGTGGTTTAAGATGCTGGAATGTTGATGGGTTTTTGGCCAAGGGCATAGTGTAACTCACAGGGACTGGAAAGCCCCTTTAGCCCAGAGATTTGCTACTTTTATTGGAAAATGGACAGGGCGATAAAAGATGCCAGGTAACATGGTAAAAACAGAGGATGGAACACGTGGCTATTTACACAGAAAGAGCAGTGCAGGAAGCACACAAGTTTGGGAGCCTACCTACTGTGAACCAGGAACTGGCTGGCCCTGGGAGTACAAAATTGAGAAGGACACGTCCTGGTCCTGGATGAGCATGCGTGTGTGTGTGTGCACACTGCTCTAGGGGTATGTTTCGGTTGCTGGGCACAGAGAGAATGGTGTCTGAAGACGATCTTTGGGGCTGAGTAGGAGTTATCCAAGTGGAAGAAGGACAGGTAAGAGACAACCTGTGAGGTGAATGCAGATGTAGGGAAGATGTATTCTTGAGGCTGTATTTTGAATGGCTAGCATGAAGGGGGCTGTGGGAATTGAAGAAAGTGGAGGACTTTTATTTTTTCTAAGTAGATTTAAATTTATCTTGTAGGCTATAGAGATTCACATGAGAACAAGCATGGGCAGGAGCTCTGGAACCATCTCTGGGAATAAGTATTTGAATAGTAATGCAGGAAGCATAGTTTAAGTCACTGGTTGAGTGAACCTGAGACTTTGACCTTGGGCAGTAGTTAAGAATCTTAGTTCAGTGTGTGCACTGATGGGTGGGGACTTTTCTTGGAATATGGCATGGAAGGCTGTGCAGTGCTGGCAGAAATCGAGGAGAGGAAGGGGAGGTAAGGTTGTGCTGCATGCAGGGAGTTCCTATCTGGTTGGAAATCCCTGAGTTTGAAGGTGTGTATGAAGCAGAGAACATGAGAGTGACAGGAAGGGAGGAAAGGATGGAAGTGTGTTGTGGGACCGCTCCAGGTTGTCCAGGGGCATGGAGGAAATAAATGGCTAGTGCACAAGTCACAGAGGAAATAAATGGCCAGGTCACAGAAATGAGAGAGGACATAGATGTATCCTTGAGGACTTCCTCTCTTCTGACTTTCCGCAAATAGGGTGAGTGGGTGGCCAGAGGGTTAATGGCATTTATGCTTGGAAGCAGCTCAACCACAGAATTGAAGGTAGAAAATGTTAATCTTTCTGTTGTTCTTTCCAATAATAATAGTAATAATAATAACTTTGAAAATTTTTCGAGTGCTTGACATTCTCATACTGATTCATTAAAGTAGGTTTTATGATTATCAGTTTCATTTCACAGATGAGACAATGAGTTTGGTTAAATAGGGTTACCCAACTACTAAGTGATGTGGCTGAGTTTCCAACCTTGCCTGATCTATAACTTCGTCACCACTCTTTTATGTGTTCATAGAATGAAAAGTTCAAATCCACATTGTTTTTCAGTGCTGTTCCTTAGAATTTAATTCAGTATACATTTATTGGGCCCTGATAGGATCATAATTGAGGATTTACCTGGGTGAGCAGGCTTCTCAATTCCACACTGGTTCTTCTCACCATTCCGTCTCTTAAGATTCTACCATTTCTTCTACCTTTTGGGCATTTTCTCTCTCCATAACTAGCTGGAGGTAAGGATTTTTTCCAATTTTATTGAGATATTATTGACATATATCGCTGTATAAGTTTAAGATGTACAGCATAATGGGTTGACTTACATATATTGCAAAATGATTACCATCATAACTTTAGTTAGCATGCATCATTTTATGTAAAAAAAAAAGAAAAAGATCCTTGTAATGAGAACTCTTAGGATTTACTCTTTCATGTATAGCATAGAGTGGTGTTAACTATAGTTACCATGTTGTACCTTACATCCCTGGTGAAAAGGATTTGATAAGGATTTGAGAGGCAGTTGGGGCACTGAAATAACAAAGTAGGGAGGTGATGAAGTGTTGATCTCAGTTATTGTCCTTGATCTGTGGCTCCTGGGACAATGCTAGGTGTTCTCTGGAGTTGAGCCAAATAGCTCCTTTTGGATCCTGCCCTCCCTGGGTCATGCACACCCCTTCTTCCAAGAAAGCTTGCAGGCTCAGGACTCTGAGGGATCAAGTCAAGTCCTTTTTGTGGCTTGCTTGCCTCAGGTAGGTCATTTGCATTTCGGTGATTCCCAGATACAGGCACAGACACCAGGAATGGCACCCTGCAAAGTAAATAAGACCTTGGTGTCTTCATCTTTGAATCCATATCATCTCTGGTGCCCTGAAGGTGTTCAGTAACTGTGAAATGAAAGAATAGTGTTCACTGACACAATATAAGCATGAATCAGCACTTGACCTTTTATGTTTGCTTGTCTTTGTCTCCCCTCCATTTTAAACTAAGCTTCATTAGGATCGCAAGGGTACCTTTGTTACTGATCATGTTCTTAGTGTCCAGAGGAGTGCCTGGGACACGGTAGGTGTTCTGGAAATATTTGTTAGTTGAAGAAAGGGATTGAGTTAGTTCACTGTAACCACAGATAGCCATGTTGGGGG